TCGGAACTTTATTCACCTGTACTGAAGATAAGTTATTATTGGGTATAGCGCGACAATAGTCAAGAAACCGAGCTCCATAACAGATGTTTTTCTGCTCTCACCATTATCAAATACGCAAATTGCAGCATCATTCAAATGAAAGCGTTGTCATCTGTGTATATATAAGTATTAACAAAAGTAGCGGAGTAATGGAAGAATGATGTGGGGGGTTTATCTAGTTGTACTCAAGTATGTTTCATACCCGTGCCTCTCTTTTAAACTAATCGATCTCTACTTCTAGTTGTTTAGGTAAATTTTGCGATTCTCTACACATACATTGATGTATCGATTTTGAATTTATACAGTGCCATCAATCGTCGCTCATGTCTGCTTGAATACCACTCAGTACAGTGCGTGTTCATCGAACATCGCATGTGGCTGTTTGATACTAGCAGATGGAACAAACGATGGTATATGCTCCTATCTGTATACTGCATGTTCTGAATTGAATGCATGCGCTCTTAATAATCGAATGTGTCTGGAGTCGGATCATACGTGTGTACAGCATCCACGTTGTGGTAATAAACCATTGTGTTTTCCAACAAGCATGTCTACTCAAGCATTTTGTCCACCGATATCATCGACAACAAGTATAGAATTCATTAGACGTATATACATATGTATTGATATCGTTCATGTTATTTATAGTCGATCCATCGTTACCTCATGATGGAATATGTGCCCAGACGAAGTGGAAGCGTGATGGAATTATTGTTGCCACAGACGTTGATGGATCCGACTCCAATGAAGTGCGACCGAGTGCTATATTCGTTGACGAAAGCGATGCAATCTATGTTGCGGATCATGCTAACAAGCGTATAGTTAAATGGGAAACGGGTGCAACAAAAGGTCAAGTTGTAGCTGGCGGTCATGGCGACGGCAATGCTAATGATCAATTTACTGATGTGAGAAGTATTGTTGTTGATAAGAATGGCACGATGTTCATCTGTGACAGAGGCAATCGACGAGTGCAGCAATGGGTTAAGAGTGCCAATCAGGCAAGTACCGTTCTCGATGATATTTTGTGCTTTGGATTGGCTCTCGATAATGAAGGATCCCTTTATATATCTGATGGAGCACATGATCGGGTGATTAAATGGCCAAGTAATGAAACTGTTGCTGGCGGTCACAGTGTAGGATTTGATTTAAATCAGTTGAATGATCCACGACAGATATTCGTCGACCGACACAAATCAGTCTATGTGGTGGATGGTTACAATTATCGCATAGTTAAATGGCCTTCTGGTGCTCAAGAAGGTATTGTTGTAGCTGGCGGTAACGGTGAAGGTGTTGGTAAAAGTCAATTATCGTATCCAAATGGCGTAGTTACCGACGATTCAGGTACTGTTTATGTTCTCGATTATGGTAATGACCGAGTAACACGGTGGTTTCCAAATGCACCGTCGGGCATTCTTATTCTTGGTCGACCAGGTTTTAACGACCCAGATGATACATCTGTCATCTATCGTTCAATAGACATGACAATGGATCGACATGGCAATTTATATGTTGTTGATATTATGAACGAGCGCATCTTGAAATTTCTTATAGATAAGAGTGCTTGTATTCAAAGTAATTGAAGAGATTATCTCGATTATATTTTCGACTATTTGTCATTGCAAGTTGATCATTTTAATAAAGCCGCATTACTGAACTTCTTTTTATGTCTTTTCCTTTCATCTATGAAAATGCGTTTGAGCAATACATTAACTTTTTCGTCCAATCCTTAAACTTACGTCGAAATCGAGTACGTGGCACTCTTGGATCATAGCTAGAAATACGTTGTGGAATTGAATGTACAAAAACCATCTATGAATATCTGTGGATATTGTAACGGGCGGGCCACTGAGCTTCCTCAAATATAGGTTGCCACCAGATGCTTTTGGATTAGATGTTGAATGAAGGCTCTGCAAATAAAGCGGATGAGTGCGATTTCTTAATGCATCTGGAGAATTCAGTCGAGAAGGACGCAGGTATTTTGAACTCGATGATTATTTGGGTCTAAGACAAATAAATTTCCATGAGCATCTAAACGAACTTTCTTCGACTTGTCCAATTGATTTGAGCGAGTTCTTGCTTGGTTACTGATTCCGGCAACAGCCTTCAACTTCTAACAATATCTTGTCGCATCGGACGAATCAACAAACCATATGAAGTAAACTGTTTTATGGAATTGTTTGTACGGCTGGCAATATAGATGTCATCCGTTTTTTCACTAGTACGAATGTCCGTTGAAGCGTATGTTCTGACGAGGCGTTCTCTTGATCTAGCATCTGCTCTCTATTTTTTAATCTGGCGATGGGTAAGTGTGATGATGCTGAGAAATATTATCGTCGCCTACTAAAGGAATTACCCGAAAATCTCATCAAGATATTCCCAGCTGTTATTGTGCACTTGAAATTGTCGCTTGTAATAAAGGCGAATATAAACACAGTCTGGAATACTATCGAAAGTCTCATCATATCCTTAAACGGATGGATCGGCAATGCCTCGCTGACATCATTAGGGACTTGGGTTCAACCTATCAAAATCAAGGTCAGTTAAAAGAAGCACTATGGATTTTTACGAGATAGTATTGGATATGTATTAACAAGTAGTCGGCATTGATCACACTCATGCGGTTATGTGTTTTGGCAATATCTATCAAGAGAAGAAGAACTATTCTAAAGCAATCGATTATTATCAGAAAGCATTGAACATATGGGAACAATCTCTTTCTGTTCATCACTATCATTTAGATTCTTTACACGATAACATCGGCAATGTTTATTACTGTCTCAAACAATATGATCGTGCCTTGCAACATTATAGACAATCACGCGATGTTAAATCAAAATCTTGACCTGATTATCAGCCTTCCATTGCAACTACACTAAAACAGATATTGGCGAAGTGTATGAATGTACACAGTACTTAACATCTGCTTTGGTATATTTTCAACAGGCAGCTGCCATTTATAATCGCACATCGTTGCCATTGAAAAGGACATTGGATGAGTTAAGTTACAACTCTACCGTAGCCATTTTCTAATGTAGTTTCTCGTGTTTATTTTGGAGGCATTTGTACACCTTTTGATGTTAATTTTTCATATGAAATTGGAATAAAACGAAGAAGAAACGATATAATAAATAACATTGAGTAGCATTAGAAATCCTTTTTATTCAAAGGAGAAGAATTGGTAAATAGTGTTGATATCGCACGATTTAATCGACGAATCCAGTTTCAAGACTTTATTACTAACCTTATCATCAAGCTGAGTCGCATCGCCTGGCATTAGAGTGATTACATCTTTAGTCTATATCATTGGAAAATGTCGATATATGTTTGTGCGTTCTCATATTTATTTATGTTAAAAGTCACAACAATCAACAGAAGATCATCATAAAAGCACATAGTATTGAAAAAACTCCAAGATGTGCGCTAGTTCTAGTCGAACTACTACTATACGACACTAATAAATTGATTTCATCGGCAATCAATTGGTGTGCTGTGCTTGTTATGTGAAAGTCGTCTAGAAAAATATATTTCGAGGGATCTTGGCAGGAATTTCGCGTACTATTTAAGCTGTACGTGTTCCAACATGGATCAATCGTGTTCGCGAAAGGATACGATTGATTGGTAGTCATTTTTATCATCAATGTGTAGATATCATACAATTGTAGGCTAATGTTTGAATATGTAGTTTGTAGAGTACCAATGCTAGTAGATAGAGCCGTATTGATGGCATTGGTCAGTGCACTTTGCAGAGCAATTTGATTTTGTTGGCTAAAATATGGAAATTTTTCAATAGGCGGAGCATTGAAAATAATCAGATTTTGAGCGCCAAGGGCAATTAAATCTCTGACACAATTCGAATAACTATTTACGAGACTTGTAACGTTCAATGTTGGATCATAAAGTAAATCGTTTCCACCAGCCCAGATGAGATAAATTGTTCGAGCATAATTAATCGTAGTCTGTGACGAATCGTTGATATAAGATAAGATCTGTTGTCTTATACCAGGCACAGGAACGGTATTTGATTTTGTGTATCCTTGGACCAAATTACTATCTGTAGTTCCGCCAGCGTAAGCATAATCAGTTTTGTTAGCTATATTTACTTGATCCACCCAGATAGGACCGTTCGAGAAACGACCTTGGTAATAAGGACTGGTTGGCCACGTTTGGTTTGTTAATCTGTATACATTACCGTTGTCTGTCAGTGAATCACCAAAGAAAACAGCGCGATCGAATCGAGGTATTCGAGTACTACTGACTGAGATGAATACCGACGAAAATGAAAATAACAATGAAAAGATGAAATGCATGGCACTTGCCTCTGATATGAAATGTGCGTATACGTGCTTCTTTTTATGTCTACCTAATGACTCATGATATGGATCGATGACCAGTATGTGGGAGATATTTGCATCTTACGCATGTTTGATCTGACGTACACAGGTATATAATATAGATCTGATTGTATGATGACTCATGCGCGGAACGAGCAAGAAAAACAAATGAAGAAATTACTTTCATTCTGTGTATGGTTGATATAAAACATAAGAATATGTTATTTTTAAACATCTGATGAACATGAAGTGAAAGTGTATACGTCTGATGTGTTAGTAATGAATAATGCAAGTAATAGAAGCCTATTATTTCACGTTCTACTAAACTATTTTACAGTGCGTACAAAATAGAGATGAAACTGATTTTGTCTGTTGAAAAAAATTTGAATTGTTCACACATACACTTCTCATTAGTTCTGATCCAACGTTTATTGTTTCGTTGAAAATGAAAAATAAACATCGGATTACTCGAGGACGTCCATAAACCCTTGATGTTTCTTTCTCATGATTAGTTTAATGTACAGGGGTATATAATGCGATCAATTCAAAGGTACAACGATCATTATTAAATTCCAAATGCTATTAATGATAAGAATTATCGTTTTTTTCGCTACTATGCAAAGTGTAAACATGCTTCAATGCTACGTATCCACTACGACTTCAGTTACTGAACAACACTGTGGCAATCTCACTGTTGTTACTTGTGCGAGCTACCAATTTCTATGTCAAAACGATATTCTTTGTACTTACAATGAAAATTTGAACAATTCAACGAAGTGCCTCTATCGAATTATGACTAATGAATCATGTTTGGCATTGTCCTCAATACCTCAACATACCAATGTAATATGTTGTCATAAAAATATCTGTAACAATCAAGGACTCGACGATCTTACTGGTACGATACCATATTCAGTTTTGTTTTACGTTATTATCGGTGCTGTTTCGCTTGCATACATTTTCATGTCAAATTTTACTATTTGTGTGCTGTTTGTATTTATGCATGAAGTTTTCAATTCGATATTTTTAAAATAATTTATATTTGCCTTTTTTGCCATTTATATAAGTGAATATGGCATGATTATCAATCGAAAGTAGTTTGCCAAGGAGATTCAAACTGATTTTTTTTCTTTTCGATTCAGTGTCATGACAAAACACACACCTCGTTGTTTCTGTTCTGTTTATGCCTAAATATGAGTAAAAAATGCATGTACATATATTTGTTCGTCTATCAATGAGGCGAATCACTAACTTTCTCTTTGTAGAAGCACTGAAACGTGACATGAATGGTAAATGTGATTTGCTTATGCTCACACACAGTAATGCATATTTATCTACAGGTTGTGCTCCTCGTCGTTATAATCTCTGGCGTGTGTCCACTTCAATGTTATATATCGTATCTTATTTCAAGTACACAGTCTCGATTGAGTGTTGACGACACATCCACAAATTCACAGCAATGTGCCGGTGCGTCGAACTGTACATGTGCTAGTTATCTAGTTCAATGTCCGGGTAATTTTAGTAATATTTGCACGGCGACTGACAATCAGACTCAAGCCAAACGATGGGCCTATTCATTTACTGATGCACAGAACTGCGTACGATTATCATCGATAACAGGAGTTTCCAATGTGACATGCTGTTTGTCGAATTTGTGCAATAATCAAGGATTTAATAAAGCTTCAACTACACTCGTCGCTTCTACTTTCATCTGGATTCCCTTCCTAGTTTTTTGTCATTTGTTTATATAGACTTACTAAATAAAATTATAGAAATTGAAATCGGCAGTAATTTTGTCACACGTATTAATTATTCTCTGTAAACAGTAACGAGAAAAAAAATAGTCACCTGTTTTGCCAATTTCATTTTTGTGACTTTTGCTTGAAAAAAGTGGAATTCTGTCCTGGTTTAGACGGAAATGATTCTATTCAAGTATCATCAACAATCCGATTTCCTCAATTTGCTGAAGTGAGAAGCTGTCATATGATGATGTTGTATAATTATATATTTATATATGGACTTCATCCAAAAGCATGGAAAAACTAATTTATTTCAGTTGAATCTAAAACTAAGTAATCGCACAATAGTTTATTTTGGTAAACACAAAAAATCATATCTCTGGCAATGGCGTCTAAGAGGAAAAACGATATTCCTCTTACATTTGTAATGGCGAGCGATACGAATGCGATTCAGTATGTAGAACATGTTACGCAAATTGATCTCCATTCAGTTTTTTGTTTCCTTTTAGTAAAATTGCTTTAACGAAGAAACAAGTCTTGATCTTTGTACTATGTATGGTTGGTATATGTGCTCTTGCGTTGGCTATTTGTGTACCATCGATCTTGAAGAAGTCGCAGGATAATGCCTTACCTTCAGCTGTAGAAGATGAAATAGATGATGGTATTAGTTGAAACATATTTGAAAAGACATAATCAATGATATTTTATATAGACGTACTACCAACGAGTTTAAGCACAGATTTTACGACAATGGTAACGTCAATGACTACAAAACTGAGTACATCAGTTGCGCGGAAAAGTGAATGTTTTTGAATGACGAAAATAATTAATATCTTCTCATCCGTAGATCAAACATTCCTGAAGTTAATGTTCAGTTTGGATAAATTATATAGTACGAAATTATATCCCGTTTCGATTGCCAGCGGCTACTTGAACGGGGACGAAGTTATTGACCTTGTTGTTGCTAATTATTATGACAATTCAATTGCAGTATACTTTGGCAGTCCAGATGGACGATTTAACTCAAAAGTCGTCGTATCAGTCGGTATTTACCCTCACTACGCCATTATAGCAGATGTAAACAATGATAATTATAATGACATTATTGTTGCTGTTGCTGACGACAATCGTCTAGTGATACTGCGTGGATTCAACAACGGAAATTTCGATGCCGTATTGTATGTGCCCGTTGGTAGTAGTCCATGTTGGATTGATAAAGGTTATTTCGACGAAGATAATTTTGTAGATCTCGTTGTCGCCAATATGGATTCATCGTTTGTTAGTATCCTATTGGGCTACGGCAATGGAACATTTCGTGCGCAAATCCCTTTTCCCACCTCACGAAGTCCAACGTCCGCTGTTGTTGCTGATTTTAATCGAGATGGTTTCTTAGACATCACTATTTCATTCTATCGCAATAGTACCATAAGCATACTTTTTGGTCGTGGCGACGGGTCTTTCATTTCCGGTGTTAGTTACTTAGCAGGTGGAGCCAATTTGACTGTCCTTACTACTGGAGATTTCAACAACGATGGATATATGGATATAATCAGTTGCCATAAGACACTCAGAATGATACAACTGTTATGTAATAATGGCAATGGTACTTTTCGACTTCAGGTGATAGCCGCGAATATTACCGGAGCAGTTCAGTTAATATCGAAAGACTTGAATTACGATAATTACGTAGATATAATTGCTGTCGACCGTTATGATAGATCTGTACATGTACTCCTGGGTTACGGCAATACAATATTTCGAGAAGTCAAGCTATTTGAATATTATGACATCAGCGCAATTGCCGTTGCAGATTTCAATAGAGATGGACAATTAGACCTAGCTAGCTTGATATCAGTTTCTGATTCTTTGGCGATTTTTTTCCAAAATAGTACTGCAACATGATTAATGATTAGAAAAAAAAGTTGTAGGCCTCAAACTAGAATAAATGTATAATATGTCCTTTTCAAATAATAGCATGAACCGAATTTAGTATAAAGTTACTCTGCAAAATACCATAAAGAGAAATAGAGCAGATCTGCTCATACCCAGAAAGATCGTTGTCTTGCTTTACAATTTGAACAAATGGCGAGCATACGCGAGTAAAATATAGTGTACATTGTCAAAACAAAATGTAACTCTTTTTATTTTTCGCCCTTTTCACCTGATTACTTTATGAGAGTTATTACAATACTTTCGTAACTCATTCATTATAAATCATTTTCTTTGTCATACCACCATCAATGATAAAATTCTGCAAAAGAAGTCGTACGAATTTAAGTGACTAGAAGGACTCGATCAGTTACCTGGCCTGTGATAAATCCATTGTCGTCATCAACTAGAAATTCCACCATCTTTGTTATATCATTTGGAACGCCAACTCGACCAGCAGGATGTTGTGAATGATCTGATTCGCTCAAAGGGGAGAGAGCGACTGATTCTTTTGTGTTCATTTCCCGAACGTCAATCCACCCGGGTGAAACAGCATTCACTCGAACACCGGAACTAGAAAAGCTAACGGCCATTGCCTGTGTAAGTCCGAGAAGTCCAGCTTTGCTAGCCGAATAGCCTTCATTATTAGCTTCGGATTGAAGAGCACGTGTGGATGAGATATTGATAATACACCCTTTCGAAGCACGAAGGTGTGAGGCAGCATAATGAGAACAAATATAAGGACCAACAAGGTTTATGTCTAAAAATTTACGAAAATTCGCTACAGGTACATTATCAAACGGCATAGTCGGATCATCGTTGCCAGAAATCCATGGCGTTGCAAGAGCAGCATTGTTAATGAGAGCATCCAAGCCGGAAAATTTCTCCACTGTAGCAGCAATGCATGTCGACACGGACGATTCGTCGCTAACATCACACTTATAAAACAAAGCATGACTTTGAATTGATCGATTCGAATTAGGTGGAAACAATGCGGCGTCATTGGCAAGCAGTTGTTCGAGTATTTCCAATGAATGTATATCATTATCTGCAAACGTAACATAGAAACCTCGGGAGAGAAATTTTGTTGCCATATGCCGACCAAGACCATTCGCCGCACCAGTAACGAGAATTCGTTTCATTTCCGATGATGATTTTACAAAAAACGTGAAAGAATTCGTTTTCGAAAAGAATTAAAGAAATAATGAATGGAATGGAATCGTATAGAATAAGATTGGATAGGTGACATCGATAAGAATCGTTTCATTTATAGATGTCGACGGAAGAAGAATAGAAGAAATATACTGCAGCTAAAAACTAATTCCGTATTTAGTTACTGTATATTGATTTTTTGTATATTTATCTAAATTACTATCGGCCATACGTATCAAAACTCCTGTGCATATAACTTGAGATTGAGTTCTTCAATAGATTTTCCTTTACCACTCAACTCATAATCCGTGGTCATTCATTTGGGTTCGATGTTGATTGAGGATTTATATCCGTCTCAATATCTTACACATATAGACAATCGCATGTAGTATAAGTGTCAGATTGGATCTCTGAGTGATAAAACAAGTATTGAATATCAACTACAGTTGACAGCGTTAAACTATACGACTATCTGCGTATCGTTGATTGCATAACTAATTGAATCCAGCAGTTTACTTCAGAAAGTTTCAATCTTATCAACGGAAATGGGTTTAATTGTCAGTGATAACTCTTTTGCTATACATTTGTTCATCCAGAATTTATAATTACACTGTCAAAAGAAAGTATGATAGGTTACAAGGAAAAAAATTAGTAGATGGTTTCCAGTTAGTTTTTCATGAGCCGAGCTGTTTGCTGTCGTTACCAAACTGTTCTTGTCTTGAAGGTATCATGAAGGAAATAAGTATACATGTCTATGTCATAATTCATATCCATACTCGCTTATTATACAGACAAATTTGCTAAAAAAAGTGGTGTTCTATGTCAAGCTCTGGGTATCGATGATATTTTAAATTACTTTAATAGTTCTCTTGATTACATAAAAAGTTTTAAAAAATGAAGCTATTTCAAAGATAGAAGATGCGCTGGTCTCTCAGACCAAAGAATATCATTGCCATGCAGTTCAGTTCGAAGAAAATCTTGGACAAAAGCTAAAAGATTTGGATATTTGATATCGTAGTAAATTGTTTCGTGTCTATCTGGGTCATCAATTCGTTCGTGATCGATAAAAACAAGTTTAGTATGAACACCTTGAATGTCTTTAAAATTTCGTCGTAAGTCGTCTACAAAAGCCACAGGATGTAGATCCTCGATGACTTGTTTCTTCGGATTTTTACAAAGGTTATCTTTGTGATACCCTGTACATATAATTTTATCAATGGGAAAGCCATGTAAACGAAAGTTTTCCAAACGATGTTCACTGTAATTAGATGACATTGCGGTAACACAAACTAGTTCATACCCAGCTTGATGCAACAAGTGACATGCTTCGAGTGCTCCATCTTGCATTGACATTGTTCTCCAGCCATGCTCATTCCATACTTCATCGAATTGAGATTTCTCTTCATCAGTTAATTTGACACCATATTTTGTTTCAGCCTACAGGAGTTTATGAAGTAGAAAAGAGTAGAAGTTTGTGAATGAAAAACAATGCTGAGACTTACGCGATATGCTTGAGGTACTACGACTGACAATTGCTTTCCAAATGTTTTTTCGTAAATTTGAGCATAGGTAGCATCGAAATTCAAAAGGACACCGTCACAATCGAGTGCGATAATTGGTTTCTTTGGTGTGCTGGTGGCTAAACTGGAATCGTTGGTCATGTTCGTAATGTCGATACCAGTAAAACGGAATGCGGTATTTATATACACTATGTACTCCTTATACGCCATGTTTTTCAATGACGATATTTTCTTTCAAGTATTACGCAATAACAGTGACGCGCTGGCACTACGCGGTATATCGTCGTGCCGATGAAGCATCGAAAGGTTTTATTCGTCAATATCTACTTTGACATTTTCGATGAAAAGCAATCGTTCTTTTCGACGATTTGTTAGAAAAGATAAGAGATTGAAGTAAATTCTGAAGTTACCCGTAATAACTCACACTCTTTTGCTTAAATTACCTTCAAGACAGGACAAAATAGCCTGTGGGTAAGCACGTAACATAAACTCGCGCAAGTTCATCGCAACGTTTTGTACTTAGTATTCTTTTCTATCCTCTTACGATTACCATTTCATTATACTCGATAGCAGTTCGCGACAAATACACTTCGCAACAAACGAATGATTGTTTCTTTTATTCTCTGTTTCGTTTTAAAAACGTACATCGGCATAGGCTTTTCATTGAAAGAAAAGTGTTTCTTTCCATTCACGTCAACACCCTTACCAACAGCATCAATAGTTGCTATTACTTAAGAAAAAAACGACACTCAACAATCGCCGTCCTTCATTTCACGGCGAATACAATGAACTCACTAGCTATTGTCAGTCTACTCGGTGAGTTTTGATGTTTCTCCGCTAACTTTTCGCATACATAGCTTTGTATGTTCAGCTTTATTGCCTGTTTGCTTGACTACTAACTGTTACGTATGTAATCCTGGCTCATCAGGATGCGATCCATTCAGTTCAGGTGGCGCCGGTGTATCAACGACTTCATTATATACAAACTGTTATGTGAATAGATGCTTTACCAGCACAGCACAATAGATTTCTCTATTTTCTTTAGAAAGTCACTACTGGATCTGCCTCGGGCACCTACCGAGGCGGTTCTAGTGCCTGTTCAGCTTCTAGTGGTTCGAGTGCTAGTCTATTTTGTTGCTCTACGGACTATTGCAATGGGGCCACAGGAAAATACCAACCATCGTTTCTGCTAGGACTTGCTCTTGCTGCTCTTTTCTTTGAGCATCGACGTCTCTAACCAACGCGTGTCGATCAGTTCTGACTGCTAATCCTGTGCGTGTGTGTATTTGTGCTCATTTTCAGAATCATTATCTTTATTTATTTGAATAAAGTAGACACAACTAAGTTGTTTACAGGAACTGAAATTTGTCGAACATAAACGAATCTCTCTTTCTATTTAATCAGTTAACCGAAATTCACATCGCCATCAACAAACACTTCTCTTTTTTCTCTTTCTTTTGCAACACTATTCTGGTGTTGAAAAGTAAAAAAATGTATCGACAATGTGCGTCATCATCATCATCATTCACATCGTCAACAGTTCTTAGTGATCGAAAAGAAAGCAACGAAATTCGACAAGAACTGTGTTTCATCTGAAGCAAAACGAAATCAACATGAAATTACTGAACGTTATAGTTTTACTTGGTACAAATCATAATGTTTTTTGACAACCTGCTTTTATTGTGTTTTTCTCGCAGGCTTATTATCGACTTGTTCGGCTTACATCAACTGCTATTCATGTTCATATGGAACAGATGGATGCTTTCAGTTTTCTGTAAATGGTCGCGGTATATCTGTCTACAGTAATAATGTCTGCGTTGTGAGTCGTAAATCGTATAATTTTACAAAGACTATAATATGAGTTTTGTGCACGGACAATGTCATATTGAAACACGATCAGTCGGTAACAAAAATAGAGGAATTCCATTTCTTCTGCTATGAGAGAACTGCAGGACTCTTGAATGATATTACCTAGTGAAACTATGTCAGCCTTAATCAAGAATAAACTAGTACAATACACAAAACCATTACTGTTTGTTTTATTTAGAAATTCACTAATGGAACTTCGTTAACGACCATTCGATATCCGTATTACACTTGTCCAGGTTCTAATGATGGAACTGTTGGTACATTCTGCTGTATGACGGACTATTGTAACGGAGTCACAAGCAAATATCAAATATCAAGTCTCTTCCAATTTGTTCTTGCTGCTGTTTTGGTCAAACTTCAACTGAACTCAGTTGTGGCATTGAATTTTTATCTATAAATTTTGGGCATATTACCTCATGAATGTCTTTAATCTCACCTCTGTTTGTCGATCGAATAAATGATATCTGTGCTTTGTGAGGTGATCAACACCCACACTCTATCCAGTTTTCATTATTTACGGAACTGAGAGAAATTTCTTCTTTCTTTCAGTTAAATAATTATTTTAAAATTAAAAGTAAACAAATGCGTTGACGATAGCAAAAAAGAACACTTCATATTTCGTTGACGTCATCCATATTTACCACGAATCCAAAAGAACTCAATGAGAATTTTCATAGGGTTGCGTCCTTCATCTAAAGAAAAAAAAAGAAATCAACGTGAAATTATCGAATGTCTTCTGTTTACTCAGTATGAGTTTTAACAAAATTTTGTACTAGTACCTATGATGGCGCGGCTGGAACAGATGGAGAAGGATCTCTTGTCTAATTTAATTTGTCTCGTGAATATCAATTGTAACCAAAAGGGGCATAACATCACAACGGGATGAACAAGTTCTATCCCGTTTGTGAATGGTACGAAGATTTACAATGAAAAGATCGAACGGAAAAAGTCTAACTAAATATCAAACATTGTGGCAATATCATTGATGACCAATAGCAGCTTATTTCACTTTTATATATTTTGTTTTATGAAGATTTAGTTCCACCATGCTACGCTATACTACCCTTCATACTCACTGACACCGTAGCTATCTCCTATAATCTAATCTTCAACATTCTCCCTGTTACAACTTCACCCGCAACCCCGCCATCAGTGTCAATTTTTCATTGATTCGAGAATTCTGTGTTGGACATTTTAACTTTCGATATTTTTTCTCTTGATATGTTCAATACATAACCGCTACGAATTCCTCAATGAATTACAACTGGGAAATGGAATCACATTGTCAACCCTTCGATATACCATACTCACTTATCATCATCTTTTGTCATTTTTTTAGTAGTTTTTCGTGTCTGATCTTGTGTAAATGTACGTTACATTCATTTTTTTATGGTTACTTTAATCTAACGAAGGAAAAATTAAATGTGAAGCAATACAATTTCCATTTTCTGCGTCGTGTATACTCTATTAGTCCACCCACGATTGTGCTCTAGAAAGCGAAGTACAAGCAACAGTGACATGATTAACAAATAGAAAAAGCGTATCTGTATGAATACATTAAAGCTATTTTTGGAGTGGACGGTGAGAACAACTTTTTTTCGTTGGACTGAATGATTATTTCGAAGTTGAAAAATAAATAAATACGCCGACGTCGCCGAAGGAAGGAGCGTCACTTTTTATTTGCGTCATCAATATTACTGACTATAAAAAGGCACCAACAACTGCTCAGAACAATCTCATTCGCTTCACAAAAGAACGAAATCAACATGAATTCATTTGCTGTTTTTTGCCTACTTGGTAAGCATATTTACTTCGTGATAGACAAAATGTTTTACGTTCTCTTCTCATGTAGCTGTATTACCTATTTGTTCGGCAATCACTTGTTATCAGTGTTCTGCTGGGTCATCAGGATGTGATCCATTTAGTGCCACGGGTTCAGGTGTATCTACCAGTAGTTCATCTGCTTGTATAGTGAGTAGACAACTATCGATATAGGAATATATTTTCTGTTTTCTTATAGAAAGTTTCAACAGGATTTTCATCAGGTACAACTCGATCAAGTGCTAGCTCATGCACAGCTAATAATGTCGCCGGTGTTGGAACATTCTGTTGCTACACAGACTACTGTAATGGAGCTACAAGCAAATATCAAACGCCGTTCCTTTTGGCTCTTGTCATTGCTGCTCTTTTTGCCAAACATCGATTTCTCTAGACAATGGGGATTCGCCAATCATGACATTATACTTTTTGGAGTGAAACCTTGCGTGTGTGTGTTTTATCCCGCTTTGTGATCCTTGTTCTCATTCATTTAATAAATTACATAGAACTGATTTTATAGCTTAACGAAATTCAGATTTTTCTCAAATGAACCAAACGCCTACGCTAGCGATCGTTGATTCAGATAATGCACCAACGCAGAAAAGTTAAGCGCTTACTTAGTTAGCTCTACTGTTTCGCTCTGAAATGATAGCAAACGATGTCATTTAATCTGTGATACTAGTGACTTCGAATATTGTACTCTTTTCCCTTTTTTATTTACAGCCACAAAAATCCCAGCTATTTATGAGCTTATTACTGCGAGCATTTTCACTGAAGAAATGTAAAGTCAATATGTTGAAACTCCCAGGATTCAAAAACACGTGAGTCATGAGAAGGAATTGAAGTGCTACACATCTTTTGATTGGTTTTCCTTCTCGCGAAGGTAAAACAGGCAGACGGCATATCAAAGTAAATCGAAGGGTGTAGCTAGCTATTGATTCATTTCGTTGATTCCTTTAGCCGCCATATAGGAAGTGATTATAGTTCGCGACTACTGTTATTCGTTAATTATCATTTTCTTGAAATGTCCGAAACATTCGTCTGACACAGTAATTCTTGATATCTTTTTCTCTACTGACCACATTATATCTCGTACGGGAAGAGTATTTTTCATACGAGAAGCATGGTTGTTTTCGTCTGAAATAAATCGATCAATATTTAAATGTATCTCTCCATTTCATATCAACTATTAGCTGGAGTTTTCATTCATCTCGGAAGATAAACGAGCGTAAAGTTGTTAGCAGCTCTCAGCTCACTCGGTAAACTTCTATATGTTCTATTAATGATCATATATTTTGTATGGCGAGATTATTTACCTGCTTGTTTCGATGCTGTGTACTTCACTCGCATCTTCCATATATTTTGACGTAAAATCTAGCATGCATGTGCGAATTTGATTACTTCATCTTGTCACTTTTATTTATCAAAATAGAGTATAGAAGAATTCTGTTCACACGAACTGAACTTGTTGATGAGAGAACAACTGTGCGTATTTTGCCAGTTACTCAACATTTGATTCTACAGAACTCACACGACTCTTTTCCCTTCGTTTATAGCATTTTTTGAAATTGAAAAGCAAATAATTGGATTGACAATTCGCGCCATTGCCACCATTTTCATCCGTTAATGGCTCTTAATGATCGAACAAAAAGCAACATGAGACGGCTGAATGTTCTTTTCTCATTAGGCACAACTACCATAGTTTTTGATGACGCACTTCTATGTTGCGCCTGGTGTTTTCTAGACAACCACAATGTAGTTATAAACAAATTTCAAACGCCATTTCTTTTCAATCATTTCATTGTTAGATTGTACGGTGTGAATTTTTGTGTGTATGCACGTATATGCATCTTCTTCATAATTATTTTGGCCCCTAAAACAAAGTATAAGAAGTGAGATTTGAAAAAACAAACAGGATAAATTGGTCGGTTAGAGTCCCGCAGTATATGTTCTATTAAAACACCCTCACCCATTTGAAGTGCCTGCTCAACATAACATTTTGTTTTCTTTCATCTTGAGAGGGTCCCGCTGCAACTTATATCGAAAGAGTCTTTTTTGTGGAAAATAATGGTAGCTTCATATAAATAAAATAGAACTCAACTTTTCTTCCCTTAAACAATGTTTCTGACGTTGAAAAGTAAATAGAATGTATCGAGGATGGTTTATTCTTCGGCAACAAATGCGTTGCTAAGTATTCACAAAACAAATGTAAACACCCTCAATAGTTACAGTTATAGCATATAAAAAGGCACTGAAAACTACCGAGAACCATCATTTCTGTTATAGAAAAGAAACCAGTATGAACACATTCACTGTTCTTTGCTTACTCGGTAAGTCTTAGTAGTTTTAACAATCATATCTCATATCTTACGCTTTTAGTTTTGTTGCCCGGCTGTTTGAGCATCATTTGCTATGTATGCTCGGCTGGAGGGAATGGATGCGATCCGTTCAGTGCCACTGGTACAGGTGTATCAACGACCAACTCAAGTACAAGCTGCGTGGTAAGTGTGCATTCTGTTCTGACTCGACGTATTATATTTCTCGGTTTTGTTTAGAAAGTTACGACCGGAGTTTCGTCAGGCACCTACCGAAACGGTTTAAGTGGGTGTGTAGCTGGCAATATTGCAAGCGTTGGTACATTTTGCTGTTCCACAAATTACTGCAATGGAGCTACCAGCAAATATCAAGCACCATTTCTCTTAGGCTTTGTTCTCGCTGCTCTTTTCGCGAAATATCGATTTCTTTAAACAGTATACGTGTACTGATCGTAATGACTCAAAATCTTATGACGTGAACCGTGTGTGTGTGTGTATGTGTGCATTTATTCATTGCCATCATCGTTATTTTCATCATTTATCCAAATAAAATAGAAATAATGGATTTTGCAGTCTTGCAAAATTCATGTTCTTCGATCTCTCAGTTCCTTTTTTTCTACCAACTCTGATGAGACCGTAAAACTAAGAACAGAAAACGATTGTTTACCTTATTACTTGAACAAATATTAATAAAAGAAAAAGACATTTTTCTGATGAATAAACAAAATCGTTCAGGTATAATACTTTGTTTACAGCCCTATACTTCTGCTTGTCAGAAACTAATCATATTACAGAAAACTTATGTTTGCTTACTCTTTCTTTTCTCTTCGAAGAATGTCAATTACTATTTGCATTTTAAAAATAACATGACCAGAAGTAACTTACTTTTCGTCAGAACCTGAGAAAAAAACAATATCAACTTTTCCAAAATGACGTGGTTTAAAACTAACAATAAAGTTTTGCTCACATTTGAAGACATATGCGTTTGATTGAATCAACTCTGAATGGAAGAGATTGATTTCTCTCCTAAAGACGAGTATGTGTACTGCCTATTTGACGATATCACTTTATAACGGCTCGCTCTATTATCTCAAAATACATTCATGCATATAATATAACTGATAAGATTTGTATTTTATAATATAAAACTCTCATCGACTTGCACTTTCACGTAGCAACTATGATGTTTTACATTACAATCTTTTTTGTCTTGTGCATACGCCTCACACAACAAGCTACTTCATCATTCATAAACGTGCAAAACCGTCGTTTAACATTGAACGGACAAGATTATTTGTATGTGGGTACAAACTTTTGGTATGGTGCTAATCTAGGCTCGACAGGCCCCGGTGGCAATCGGACACGCTTATTGCGTGAACTGGATCATTTGCATTCGTTAGGAGTTGATAATCTACGTATACAAGCGGGTAGCGAAGGCCCCAATACGGAACCATGGCGTATTGTTCCTTCGATGCAACCTGACCCTGGTCGCTATGATGAGAATGTTTTAGAAGGTCTTGATTTTCTTTTATACGAAATGGGTCAACGTAACATGCGTGCGGTCATGTGTTTAAATAATTTCTGGCACTGGTCGGGAGGTTATGCTCAATATATTGTTTGGGCTGGTGGAGCAAATTCGATTCCTTATCCAGGTGATTACGATGCATTCGAACGGTTTTCTGCACGATTTTACGAGTTGCCAGCAGCTGTACAATTGTTTAATAATCACATTCAATTTATTATGAAGCGTACAAACAAGTATAACAACTTGCCATATGTGGAAGACGCGACGATCGTAAGTAAAAACAAAGACGCTATCTAAAGCTAATTTGGAAATCTGTTTCTCATAGATGTCATGGGAATTGGCAAACGAACCTCGTCGTTTAAATCTTTCCTGGGTAAATGCAACGGCTTGCTCGATCAAGCAGTTAGCCCCTAAACAGCTCGTGACGACAGGTGTCGAAGGTAATATATCTTCTAACAATTTTTCAAATGATCATGCAAGTCCATGTATTGATTATGCTACATTTCATCTATGGGTACAAAATTGGAATATTTACGATCCGAAGAATGCTTCTGATACATTTCCATCTGCATTAGAGTTCGCTCGAAAATACATCGAATACCACGTTGCATACAAAGAAAAGCCGGTCGTACTGGAAGAATTTGGTATCTCACGGTAATTAACAATACATATAGTTTTTGTAACAAGTCGAGTCTGTCTGTAGAGATAATGACGATCATAGTGCAACAGCACCTATTACCATACGCGATAAATACTATCAGGCTATTTTTCAATGGGCTCGTGCTTATCGCATACCCGTGAATTTCTGGGCGTACGGTGGCGAAGGACGACCGAGACTTCCACGTGCTAATTGGACCCAAGGTGATGATTTCATTGGTGATCCTCCTCATGAACCTCAAGGCTGGTATTCTGTGTACGACACAGATGAAAGTACATTAGAAATTATCCATCGCTTTGCTTCAGTTAGGTCGGCATCGGCGACAAAATCCTCGCTGGGCTTTTCCATTCTCCTACTATATATTTTCTTGCACAACCTATGTTATCTTGACTAATTTCATATAGTTATTTGCATTAGTAATAGTCATTTTCTTTTTCAGTAAAATGCATATGTGTAGGCAGCTTCATTATCACATAATGATGTCGAAAAATAATTCAAGCGAAAGGTTATTATAATTCGCTCGGAAGAATGGCTTCGAATAAATGTTTTATCTAACATAATCCCATACTTATTATAGTTGATCATCGTATCGTGCAAAAATTTCCTTCCACCTTTAGTGAGTAAATTTGGCGCTGAACACCCAGATTGTGTTGAAGAAAATTCATCTTGTGCGATAATCAGACTATTAAGCAACTGTTAATATTTTATGAGGATCTAGCCAACACTCGTCAGAAAGCATATACTTCCACAAATATTTAATTGCAAATTTACAGAAGCACATTTATTATAATGCCGTGCACTTAGATTTTTCTCACAATATTACAGACAACTGAAACAAGAAGTAAGCTTGACAACAAGAAATATATTACTATATAGGGGTTTCTATTTTCTTTTCATTTAAAAGCGATGAACCTAACTCAATTGACCATTGACCCATCACTGATAGTGTGGAATATTTCAACGATTGTATTAACAACTTTAGGGATTGTATTAGCTACTCTATTCTTAATAACTATTCTAATCGACAAAAAGTCGAAAAAAAATCCAATAATGGTATTAGTTGCTAATTCATGTTTATCTTCGATTGTATTTGGTATTGACATGCTTGTTTGTTTTCTAATTGCTCTAAATAATGATCTGAAAGAAATTCGAACTGAAGATTCATTGTGTAAACTTCGAGCATACATTGCTTATAGTGCTTGTGGAGTATTTGATTATTCATTTTTCGTCCAAGCCTTATATCGATACAACGCTATTATTCATCCGAAACGTACAAACTGGCAATCGTTACAAAATCAGCTTGTTATAATCGCTTCGACATGGATTTTAGGTTTCCTAGTTCCTAGTGTATTTTTATTTACAACAGAAATTGTCTATAATATTGACAATCAAGTTTGTCAAATACCTCTTCGAATATCGACCTCATCGATCTATCTTTCATTTTGTATCTATCTTATTCCATTGTTATTGATTACGGGAATGTATTTGAAATTAATTCGACATGTAAAACGTAAACGTATCCGTATCATACAAACAAGAATGTTTATTCGTGCACAGCGAGAATTAGAAATTGTCAAACGTATTCTTATACATGTGTTCATCTTGATGGGAGTTGGATGCGTCTATGCAAGCCTGCTGTTCATATCCATCTTCCGTGATCTACCGAAGTATCATTTTCGTATAGCGTACATTTTCGGAAGTACTTCTTTTCTTTTTGTTATGATCTCAATATTTCAATTTAATCCATTACTTAAACAATCAATAATAAATAAATTGTTACATAAGTAATCATGTTGAATTATTAGCTGCCAAAGAAAATCTTAAAAAGAACACGGGTGTCTGTGTGTCGTGTACTACTTTGGAAACAGAATAAAAATACATCTATTTTAAGTGATGATCCGAACCTCTAGCTGAATCAGTTCACAGGTGTTACATAAACAACAGTCGGCGAGTAGAACGACGTTTTTCGATGAGTCCACTAGATTACTAGCTACGTCTTTCTTTTTTTTCTTCTGTTCTGTCATAATTAGTGAAATGAAGTTTCTAGAAAATAAATGCTTATTGACGATGACAACACTCAACAAAGTGTCTTAGTCACGTTAGATAACGCGACATAGATTAATATTACAAGTAACAAGTTCTAATTGCTGTCGTTAGGGTGTCTTTTTTCTCAAGTTATACTATTTGATAATGCATTCCTGGTTTATTCTACTTGATATATTTAACATCGTATGTCTTACTTTCGTTATTCTTGTGTTATTCGTCTTTTTATTAACAATAACATTTGACAAAACATGTCACACAATTCCCATGATTCACATCGCTAATTCATGTTTGGCAACGTTGATATGCGCAAGTGATATCTATTGGATAAGTATATGCACACTCCGAAATGATCTTCAACAAATATATAACGAATATCTATTGTGTGTATTTGGAGGCTATTTAACATATGTCACATGTGCTGTACTGAATTATTCATTTTTGTTACAAGCTCTCTATCGTTATGTGATTGTCATCTATCCTTCAAATTTATTTTGGCAATCGCAACGATGTCAAATCCTTTTTGTTATCGTCGCATGGGCGTATGCGCTCATATTTCCTATTACATTTATGTTCAAGGGTGAGATTATTTACAATATGCATAATCAGATATGCCAGATACCACTTCGACTTTCATTCACCATGATTTTCGTTACTATGTCTCTTTACGTTAGTCCTTTATTATTAACTATACTGATCTACTATCGATTGGTTCGATATGTTTACAGAATGAACAAACGTATTATACCTGTGAATACACTGTCGCGTGCTCAGAAAGAATTGAAAATGGTTCGTCGTACGGTGACACTGTTATGCACTGTATTCATCATTGATTTTCCGTACGCGTTATTTTTATTTATATCCTTTTTTACTACTCCACCTCGATATCATTTTCGAATTGCTTATGTGTTCATCAACGTTGGATTGGCATGTGTAATTATAATCTTATTTCAATTCACGGAACAACTCAGATCATCAATCTTGAAAATCTTTAACCTGCAACTAGGAACTACTACTGAACCGAATAACACCTAAGTAGATGATAAAGAAACCAGCGCTAATTTCATTTCTTGCATGTTTCTACATATGCTACATATGATGGCAATATAAATTAAAATAATAGTTTCGGGGTTAAGCTGACTATAGTCGTCTTTCGAATGATTAAGGAGACTCTAACTGACAATTGACACATTCGACAATCAGAATGACAATTAGATAGGAGCTGTAAAGTAAAACTGGGAACACAAGAACGATGTATCGACACGTTTCAGATTAAAAAAAATTTTCATCGACGTAAATAAGTTGCCTTGATAATAGCAGTTGTATGTCTTTATAGAGGTATTGGATTGTTTGTTATGGTTCGTGACAATAGGCTTGGTTGCTTTTTGCTTATCAACTCAGCGATTCAGATTCTCTCTAGAAGATGGGAATCATTTGGAAAGAAACAAAATCAGAAATTGCTCTTTTATTGAAAATTTTCACAGGATGGTAGGCTTTCCCTTTGATGTTGGCGCTTTCTTCACAAGATCACCAAAGACATGGGATATTCTCCATTGTTACATGTTAAATTTTGCCGGACTTTGTACTTTGCAGTGTACGATATGGACGTTGACTGGCGCATATTATTATCCTTCACGAGTTTCTGCAATGTCGATGGCTGCACAGTTGTTGTTAGTTATTGGCGTTGTCACCTGAATCCAAATAACTGGAAACCTATTTTCTCCATTGGGACTTGCAGCGTTTTCAATTGATGCATGTTTCGGTTTGCTTTTCGCTTATTTTGCTATTGCTTGAATAAATTGTTCGGAGGCGACATCTAACGTAGTACGATATTTTGTTATCAAGGTATAATATTTAAAAATTTACCTTAATCAGCTCAATTCATAGTTCTTATGCAAAATGTAATTGAAGATGAAATCGAAGAGCTTTTCAACGCAATAGCATTGGTCGAGTCTAGCCAATCAATCATAACAGTGATGATTATAAACGTATACCAAAACAAAGGACCAACGTGTTAACAACTGCTTTTTATTTTTAAAGTATTGTTCACGTTGTTTTCTCGATGACAAGTGTAATTCAACAGCCAAATTTGACCGAGAGTTTAAGCTTAATCGGATGGCGATTAAAACGTGATGCAGAAATACAAGGTTTCTATCGACCGTAAAACATTTCGCTTCATATGATTGAACTTGTCTTTAGAACGTAAAAATGAAGCAAATTTCGAATGTGATGTCGAATCTACAACTACATCGTATGCAGCATCGGAATATGCATCAGTTATTGATGATGATTGCAATCTGGATCTTTGTTTAGAAGTTGATTCGATTGATATAAATGCTTCTTCTCAAGATGCCAGTGATGATTACGATCCTTATGAAGTATTCATGCGATTGAATACACGTCGAACAGGTACTGGACGTGATCGTGCACCACTAACGATACTCCCGTCGCAAACATCCACCAGTTCAACTTTAGCAAACAATTATCGTAATTACAATTTTGCTGATGATGATACGCCTGTGAAATATCCATTAGCTATCGGTCTGATTGATAAACGCTTAAAACAGCAGCAACACTCTCAACCATCTAATCGCACCGGAGTTCCTTCATCTGCTCAGACTCATCAAAACAATGTCTCGGGCGTCCGTCGACCAATGCCTATACCGAATACTTCACTGAAACGAGTTACATTTCGTCAATCGGATGATGAGTTTGATATCGATGATAATAATGACGATTCTTTTAACAATGACACACGCCGGCGCAATAAACTACCTAAACGTACAGCTGCTCGAATAGGTGCTCAACGTTTTCGCAGCCATCATGAACGTTCGTCGTCGGCAGGTGACGACGATTTAGACGATGATATTGCTCCAACAGTAACGGAAATGGATATGTTAGAAGATGACGAAGATGCCGATGGTAGTGAACCGATTACGAAATCTATGTCTTCACCTATTAAACCATCTCCATTACCATCGAACAGAGCAACAACAAGCAAATCATCTTACATTGGTAATATGCTTCCAAGTTTTTACGAGCAATTGCCAGAATCAAAAAAAATGTTATTACAAGATGCAACAGTCGATTCATCATCGAAAAATGCTAACATTGGTGGCGAGGAGATAGTTGACGGAGAAAATCGCTTACAGTTTCGTACTGCAGCACCGGTGCAAGGATATAGACGAGCAAATCATCACCAAGGTACGAAACGATACTATGGTAATGAAGATGATGGCAATGAGCAAAATCAGCAGCAATCAAAGAAACGTAATCAGGATTATCTTCAGCATCGAAATTCACAAACGCGTTACCGACGAACAGATGAGGACTACGATGAAGATTATGATGTTAATCAAGATACGTCTCAAGAAGATGAATATCAACAAACAGTTAGAGCGCCAGCGAGAAGAGGGTAAGACGGTCGTTGATTGTTTGAATATGCGTAATAAACTTTGCTTACCGATCGTTGTTTAGTCGACCACCTTCTCAGCAGCATCAAGAAGATCCAGCGAAGAAAAGTGCTCGTCTAATTGCACAATTTGAAGAACAACACGGTATGAAGTTAGGTGACATGCGTGTTTATGCACCAAAACTTCGCCTTCGTATATCCAGTGTCAATGTTAATTGGATTAATCTACCTCCAACACCGAAATTTCCTAACAAAGTTCATCATTCTTAAAAATATTCTTCCGTCTCTACTTGTTTTGTGCTTTTTTTTTCATCATTATGTATATAGATCATATTATTGTCGATATTGTAGATTGAAACAGTAAATTAGCAAGCATGTTTATGACGAGAAGTGAATACGATCGAGGTGTGAACACCTTTTCACCTGAAGGTCGTCTCTTTCAAGTAGAATATGCCATCGAAGCTATTAAATTTGGTACAACAGCCATTGGCATAATGACACAGGAAGGTAACTTGAAATGTCTGCATTCATTCGCATATTCACTCGTTGTATAGGTGTTGTACTGGCTACAGAGAAACGTATTACATCGGTATTGATAGAACCACGTAGTATTGAAAAAATTGTCGAAATTGATGCACAGTGCGTCGTTTTCCGTTTTCTTTTCAAACAAGCCAATTTTTTTATCCATCTAGTTGTGGTTGTGCGATGTCCGGCCTAATTGCTGATGCGAAGACACTGGTTGATAAAGCACGTGTCGAAGCACAGAACCATTGGTTTACACACAATGAGCGAATGACAATCGAGTCGATTACACAATCTGTATCAAATATGGCGTTGGCATTCAGTGATGATTCAGAAGAAGTTGCACCTATTTCACGTCCATTTGGCGTAGCACTTCTATTTGCTGGTTGGGATGAAAACGGTCCACATCTATTTCATCTTGATCCGTCGGGTACTTATACAGAATACGATGCGAAAGCAATCGGTTCTGGTAGCGAAGGTGCCGATCAAACACTGCAAGATGTATATCACAAATCAATGAAGTTACCGGAAGCTTGCAAGCATATTTTAACCATTCTCAAACAAGTTATGGAAGAAAAACTGAACGCTACAAATGTCGAAATGGCGACGGTCGATGCACTCGGTTATCGCTTATTTAAAAAAGAAGAAATCGATGATATTATTAAGAATATGTAAACGATTTTTGGAATTTTTTTCTCTTCTTGTTAAGTTGTTCTGTTTTTCAAAAAAACTCTAAAAACAAAATCCGTTCTAATTCCGAATCAATTCTTTTCTTTTTCATTTCATTAGATATGAGCAGTGACGAAGAAGAAGAAGAACTCGAATTTTTAGATGATTATTACTATTCCGACGATTACGATGATGATGATTCCCTGGATGATTTTGGTGACGAAGAAGAAGAAGAAGAAGAGGAGGAGGATTCAACACAACAACCGATCCATTTTCGTGAATGTCTCCGTTTACTTGATGCAGCATTAACATCAAATAATCCACCTATTCTTCCACGATGGTGTACAAGTGAGCATATTAATATACTCGAAGATCCAATGCTGTTAATTCACGGTCACGAAAAATGTCTTTCATTGCCTATGAATAAGAAAGACGTTCGACGGTTTATACGACATGCTGAACCATTAGATATGATCATTGATATCGTTGATGGAATTTCTTTTCCATCATCTGCTCATCAGATACCAGCAAATGCATTCAGTATTCTCAATCAACGCTGGTCAACCAAAATTGAACCCTATCTAAAACGTTCATGCATCGGACCAGCACTTCAACTCGATCACAATCAACTCGATATCAAAGTTTCCAACTTAGTTTTACTCGAACCATGTCAATTTCCACGACAGTTTCATTGGTCTGTAGAACAACAACATTCAGGCACAATAGCTAAACTATTTCTCAGTTTACCATCAATTTACAAGGGTGGAAAAGAAACAATTGTACACTATAAGGAAAAGCATGTTTTCGAACTCTTATCAAACACTTATACAATTGTTCCGACGAGTAGTGAATGCAAACACGAAATTGATTTTATATCACATGGATATAAATTAGTATTAGTCTATGATATTATTCCGATGACACCCACGATCTTTTACAATGTTGATATTAACGAAGCAACATTGACACGTGTTGGACGAGTGTTAGAAACATGGATGAATGGATTAGAACATGAATATCATAGTTATTCCTCAAAAATCATTGTACCGTTTTCTGACACGTTTCATGTTGGTCATAATCCACTTCTTCATGGTATCGATCGAGTTATTGGAACTGTTCTTCGACGAACGATTGAACATCACTACTCCGAACACTTTCTACTCTATCAAGGTCTTATACAACCAAATCGATCGAATGATGGTACCGTACATGCCTGTCGTTTACTGACAGATTTAAAACTGATGAGCAGTAATAATGGCAATATGTCGACGACGCTTTTTAATCAAATTGATTTATGTCTGGGAAATTGCAATGAAACTTATTCCGGTAATGTCTTCGTCAGAAAAACACGTTCTGAACAAGGGCAGTTGGTTTCCTTGGAGCAATTTACTGTACCGATTTGGTGCCTTGTTCCTATGAATGAAAAATACAATCTATTGATTGACAACATTCCACGTGTTCTATCTCATCTCGAACAGAATCTTCTTCCTCATCATCAACATCATCAAACAGAAATTTTTTTACTTATTGATTGGTTATTAACAACTACGAAGAAGATCAATTTCAATACGAAATCACTTCTTCATCATTTACTTCGTCTTTCGACAGATCCGACGATCACACATCATTTTAGTATGATTATTCGACAACTACTTGAACATAAAAAGTTTCACGATCAATTCTTTCCAATGATCCTCAAACAAGAATATGACGATATCGTTTATCTTCTAAATTATTCTAAAGACGACAAAATTCAATTATATATTCATCAAGTTTTTCAAACTGTTCTTAAACGTCGTTCACGCGATTCCGAACGAATTCGAGATGCTATTAAATTCATCGGCACGTTATCCACACGTAATATCGATCCAAGCTTTTTGCTTGTTCTCACTCATGAATTACTTTCAAACGTATTGAAGCCAAATAGTCCGAAACTATCCATGACGGATCTTTCTAACCTCTTGGCACTTTTATCCATTTCAATGGATTCGTACGAGCTATCATGCCAAATCATTTCTCAGCAAATCATTCAACAAATTAAAATAACAACAACAGCCATGACGATATCGTCTACAATTACCAATCTCTTACGAACAGTTCTTGTGCCAACTCTGATTCAAATCTATCGGCAATTTGCAGATACAAATTATTTCTATGGAAAACGAAAACGTGATTCAACAGTATACTTTCCTCCGTGGTTTTTATCGCTCTATCGAACGTGTCTTACATTATTGAACGCTTATTGCAATAGTTCTCCAGCCATTCCTACTTACGATAATCTTTCCAATGTTCTTCATACACACTGTAGTTGTTCAGTTTGTGAACAGTTGTTTGTTTTTCTTCAAAATTCGAAATTATTCGAACAAACATTTCTTATTTCGAACGATAAAATTTATCATTTTAATATGACTGTAAATACGTTTACACCGTTATTTATTACGGCAAAACCCATGACGTCAGATAAATGCAATCATCAGATACATATTATGAAAATGTCTACCTACGACGAAGAAATATGGCGTGAAAATATTCTTCTTCGCTCATTATTAGCTCATATTCAATTATCGAATTCCAGTGAAGATCAATGTGAAATGGCGAAAACTAATAGTAAACGTTTCAAATCATCATAATTTTGATTTTTTTTTCTTGTTTTTGTTTATATCTTTCTTTTGTATCTAAGAACAACTATGACTTTTTTCTTATTTTTATAAAATAAACATGATGGCTATATTGACACCTACTGAATGAACCACATTGCTTTGCTGCAATGAATTAATACCATTGTTGACGCAAGAATGCAAGAGTAGAATATAATTTTCTCTTGTTATGGAACAGGTATTCGAGTCAGTGTACCGCTTGTATCTTTTAATACGATCAAACATCTACAAGATGTTTTTAATTCTTCTTCAAAGTCTTTTACGTACAAAAATTTTAAATTCCGTCGACGTGGCATCACATGGTAATTGTGACCGTAAGCAATGTCGGTAATACGTCTTACGCGAACTTGACGATCAATTTTTATCATAGCTGCATGAGCACACCCATCACCAATATATTCACGCAGCATCAAACCATCTCGAACTAATTCATTAACAAATGTTTGAATTGGTTCAGACTCGTAGAACCATTTTAAACGAATAATAAAAAAATTGTTATATATACAATCGGAAACATCAGTGACATCGTAGAGAAAGTGCCGTAAAAGGGGTTCCATTGGTGTAAACGGTTCCGAATATGTTGCACGATAAACATAATCTAACTTTTGTCTATCAACATAAAGGAAAAGGTCTTTTCCAGTTTGGTCAGAAAAATACGAATCGGCATCCATTCTCATGAGATACTCGTATTGACCTTGCATAATTGCGGGATGATAAAAGATATCATACGTCCAAAACTGGCACATCATACGGTATCCAATTGATTTTCCTAATCGTGACCCGTTGTTCGGTTGTATTGGTGTTCGGAAATCCACAAGAGCAAATGATATGTTTACGTGTGTATTGTTTCTTATTGTACATGATATTATGTATTGCTGTAAATGGAAACTAAGGCTTTCCTCATGAAAAATTATGATCGGATAAAAGAGATTGGTTTTAGCAGAATGAAACTTTATTACGGAATGAATCATATTAATTGCTAAGAAAATTGATTGGTTATCACTGCGAATAAGTGTAGCGATGACACCGCGTGGTTGAATATAATCGTTCTCTTGAATAAATGTATCATTAATAATATAATTACCAAAGCATATCATAACAATAGTAATAGCAGTTAAGTACAATAGTTTGCTTCGCGTAGAAACATTGCCAAAAGAACATTTCATTTTGATCAAAGCATCCTATACAGGAAAAAGTCGTCAACTTAACAATGGTTTTTTTCCTTACGTGAGCGAGTACGCTGAATATGGATTTCCGGATCTAGATCCTCTAGAAAATTTGTCATTCATTACAACAAACACCACTATCTGTTCAAAATGACTTGGACGTTCTCCGAAGATAAAGACGAAAGATTGTCAGTTTCGCCATTTTGAGGCCCCACATATAGAATTTGTATACACTCATTTTTTTCCTTGAAAAAGCACTCTCAATCCTATCGTCACTTGCGTATTAGCTTTCTTTCGGTGATGTGTTGCGTATCGGGTGCTTATATTCCGATTGTGAATTTTATGCCTCATATTTAACTCTATGAACTCTGCTTATGTTTAGTATCGTCAGTAGCATTGGCTTCTCTGGACTCCAGTCATTTTGTCGACGAAAAAGTGTCTCAATAATCAACATGACAAACATGTACGCCTGAAAGTAAGCGATATATCTTTACTATGTAGTGGTACTTACATTCATCGTTACCTTGATAGAAAAATAGCTTTTTTTTGAAAAACGTGGCTGTCAGGGAAGTATACTCAGCCCGTTCTTTTATCGTTCTGTACTCATTAGTCAATCACTTTTTCTCGTACGTTTTGATGCATTTTACGGAGCCGAGAAAACATTTGCGCGCGATTATCGGAAACTGTTACAATGGAAAATGTCGATGCGTTTTCTTTAAGTCAAATCGTTTTATTGAAGAAAAAGAAAACGCTTTTATACATAAGAGAAGGGAGAGAGAAAGATCGTTCTTCTCGACAAACGACGAGATGATATCTTCGACCTCTTGTATTAACCAGCAGTGTCAAACTTCAAAATTGAGTTCAAGCACTTAACTATCCGTTCAACTATACAAGTGTTCAAATTTCCAATTACTCTAGGACTCCACTAATTTAGCACCCACTCCGAACCGTCACTTTGCTATTGAATACTCGGAACAGTTGAATTCGAGTTTCAAGTTATACATGTATGAAAAGAAGCCATATGAATAGGTAGTCCGATAGAGAAAACGTGCTCTACAAGATGTGCTGTTTTTTCCGCGCCACATTCATTTTAGGGTACGAAACACTAAAAACTAGCTATACGATAATCTTTTGCATCGTTTTCACATGTTTTCTTGAAAAATTACTCAAATCGGACTTTCGAAATCGAAAGAGCCTTAGAAAAAATTTGCATGTCTGAACATTGAACAAGTAGCGCTCATCTGTTGGATTTGTTGGCCCTTTCCTGAAAGAGTTACAACACTTTTAGATAAAAACTCCAGCGTAGATCTCGCTATCAGTTGCTGCGTAATGAAGCCACTTTTATGTACATTCTTTTCGTTCAATCCTTTTCATACGTGTAATTATAACTTGAAACTCGAATTCAACTGTTCCGAGTATTCAATAGCAAAGTGACGGTTCGGAGTGGGTGCTAAATTAGTGGAGTCCTAGAGTAATTGGAAATTTGAACACTTGTATAGTTGAACGGATAGTTAAGTGCTTGAACTCAATTTTGAAGTTTGACACTGCTGGTTAATACAAGAGGTCGAAGATATCATCTCGTCGTTTCCCAGGTGAACAAATCCCATACTCGGATCCGAAACACGGATTTTATGGATTTTCTAACGACCATCATAGAACCTAGCTAAAAATAACACTCATAAAATTTGCAATAAATGGCTGGATTTTTCCAGTCGGAATCTGATGCAACTCCGTCACCAGGAATCCTATCGGGTCTCGTCGGATGGTCGGATCCAACGTCGGATTTGTTGACCTGGGTTGTCGAGAAGAACGACCTCTCTCTCTCCCTTCGCTTATGTATAAAAGCGTTTTCCTTTTCTTCAATAAAACGATTTGACTTAAAGAAAACGCATCGACATCTTCCATTGTAACAGTTTCCGACAATCGTGCGCAAATGCTTTCTCGGCTCCGTAAAATGCATCAAAACGTACGAGAAAAAGTGATTGACTAATGAGTACAGAACGATAAAAGAACGGGCTGAGTATACTTCCCTGACAGCCACGTTTTTCAAAAAAAAGCTATTTTTCTATCAAGGTAACGATGAATGTAAGTACCACTACATAGTAAAGATATATCGCTTACTTTCAGGCGTACATGTTTGTCATGTTGATTATTGAGACACTTTTTCGTCGACAAAATGACTGGAGTCCAGAGAAGCCAATGCTACTGACGATACTAAACACAAGTAACGCGGGTTAGTAGCCGCTGACCGCTTCTCACGGTATAGATGCTTATTCACTACTCTACATGACCAGAGTGTATCTCTTTCACAATAAGACACGCGCTTATATAGAGAAGAGGAAAGGGAGATATGACCCGGAGATGTGTATGATACAGAGGTGAGAGAATAAAGAACAGAAAGGGATGAACGATATCATCCAATATAGCATATATTCGCTTTTTTGAAAGAAAGGGCTATACAGCGGTTAAATACATGGATTGAAAAACTTAAAGTTTGTTTGTCTGTCCTATCCAATCAGAGAGCAGCATTTCTTAAATCAATGAAATTTACCGATAAAAACTAGAAAGCGGCTACTACCGAGATAATCAAGGTCGGAGATCTCGAATCCGTTGTTAGTTTTTCTTTATTCATTGAGGTGTGGCGTCTTCCTTTCTCTTTTCGAAACAGAGATGTTTCTGAATCGTTTCTAAAGTCTTGTGTAGGAGATAGTAGGTTTAGCACTACGGCTGGGTATGATGGAATACAACCGAGAATGTCCTTGTGTTTTTCGTCTTTCTGCATGAGTATATCAGAAGAACGCAAAAGAAAAGGACATTTCGTTCGATCACATTGGAAAAGGATAATCTTGGCTGGTCACCATAAGACAGACATGGACAAGGCATCAGCTTTTTGAACCAAGTCAAGTCCAGTCAGCTCAAGCCGAGTCACAAATTGGCTTGACTTGCCCATATCTGCCATAAGATGTATGCGAAGATACTTGTTTAGAGATTTGCACCAAAAGACTTTATTATATCTCACATGATGATATTTGCAATTTAAGATATTAGAAGAAATACATATAAGGCACTATGATGGGTGCTCTTTAAAAGCCAAATCATAAGATAAAAGTCTCTTTCTAGTTGCTTTTGGTAATCAAATGCATGGCGAGTCTCTAATCTAGAAGCCAGAATGGCGGGAAACGTAGTCAGTCACTTTGAGAATTAATCAAAAGTGAAAGGCATAGTACGGATAATCATAGGAACGGCTAGGCGTTTGTATGAGAAGAATTTTAGCAAATGAAATGAGTATGAGTGAAAGACAGACAAATTATGAGATAGGTAGATCCTTTAGATGGAATAGGTTTTATTTGTCACTGTAGAGAACACAGAGAGCAGCTGATAATACATTTAGTAGAGGGCAAGGGGCCATCGCGCCGTATTATTTGTAAGCACATTAGAAAGATTTTCAAATATCTGCTGTCTTTCTAATTAAACGGACTTTTCTCAATTAGATTAGCTTCCATAGTTATTCCCTTTCTGAAAGAAAGGGTTATAGTCGCGTTAAAAATCGGTACAAGTTTGTTGGCCCAAGCCAATCAGAAATAAGAATTTCTTAAACCATCGAGGTCGAGGAACTGGAATCTGGGATGAGTTTTAACTAATTATTAACTATTAGTTACCTTCAGACAAATTAGGGATGAACTGTTAATGTACGCAGTAAGGGTGAGGGTGTGGGTGTTGGGGGCGGTGCAGCTGGCAACGGCATAGTCAGGTTCAATATGAACGAGATTCGTTACGATTAGTTGACTGATAATTCATGGTCATACAGTGAATGAATGATTAAGTAGTATTTAATAGTGAGATGCCGATTACTTGATAGCCCACTGATTGATAATAAGTAGTCAGCTGGTTAATATTTAATTAACAGTTATATAGTAGTTAATAATGAGTCACTCCAGGATTTACGGTCAATCACTTACGAGTTGCTAAGCGGAAAACTCGAAACTTCGAATTCTAAAGTAGAAGATTTAGAATTCGAAGGAAGTTTTAATACTCGAATCGAGTTAACGACTTCTACACTACTCCTTTCTCCGATTTCTTCAGTTATAAATATCATCATCCAACATATACTAAATATTTTTGTATAAACTTCTAAACTACTATTTTCTCTTCCATCACATATCGCAATAGCATTCAGCTCATTACCTTCCACAAAAGATTCTAAAATAGACACAGAAAAATATCTGCTGTGAAAAGAGAAAAAATCAGAGAAGCTCGATTGATGGGAAAAAACTGATCTTAGATTCGAGTTCCTCGACCTCCATTACCCTTCGGTCAACCCTTACTACTATCAACTACCGCTAAACCCCTTCCGGTAATAAAAGCCTCCGGGGGCTTCTAATATGTTCCGTCAATTTTTGAAAATTTTTGGTATCTAAGTTTTTAGGGGTTTTTAACAGATTTATATGTGATCATGAGCTTTTTTGGGGGTTATTACTACTTCTTTACCTCGAAATCTACTGTTTTCTCAAATTTTACGGTGACAAAGTAATGAAAATCCCGAAAAACTCTGCAAAAAGCTTTGAAAAAAAGGGGTTTCTATTAGGCAAATTCGTTGCTCAGCTCCGAGGGGGCTTCTACTACAGGGAGGGGTTTAGGTTATATTGAAAGAAAAATGAATGAACGGACGAACATCAACTGGCTTTTCGGTGACACCATCTCGACGTACTACCCTCCTTTCAGTATAGAAGGAATGAAGATGTTATCTGAAAAGAAGTCCGCTCTGGAAAATCAAGCCATATTCGAAAACGTAGGAATTTTACATAGATATACCGCTCCCTCCAAAAGGTTCCGTTCATCTGTTCATCACCAGGCACCTTAAAAGGTTGTCTGATATGTTCTTGCGAATCGATGACTAAGTTCTGTCTAACAAATCCCAACGCTATATGAAAATCGCTAAAACTTGTTGTTGAAAATATTACTCTTCAAATCGAAATCTAGTCGTTACATTTTTAGCTTTCATTCTTTCATCTAGCTTAAAATCTCCATGAAACTAAATCAAGCCTTTTCGTTCTATTTCCTGCTGAAAATTCATCATCTTTGTGCCACTGTGATTGCCGAAAACAACATTTGTCGGGAAAAGTGTTATTTTGAGTGCTTAGTATCAGATGATGTTTGTGTAATTTAACTGCTTATATAATTTTGATGTTATCAATATGCTGATGAGTACGAATATCCAACAATCCGACGTTCATCAGCTACTTCGTTTTGTTCTACATATTGCTGCTTCAAACACTATCACCCAAAAAAAAACTTGTAAAAAATCGTCCCTTAACTGAACAAGCGCAACAGAATTTTCCTACTGAAAAACTAGGCAACGGATTTAATATCCTTGATCCAGATTACCCTTCGGTCGACCCTTACTCAACAGCCTAACAAATTTTTAATTGCCTATTTAGTAATTAGCTAATTAGCTAATTCCTATCTCGAAAAACTGACACAGGATTCGAGATTCTCGATCGAGATTACCTATCTAGT